AAGTAAAACGCTGCTTTCAGTTGTTGCCGTTTTAAGACGACCAACTGAATGTTTTGTTCTCTTTGGATCAGTTGGATCGTCCAGCTGTCATCAACGACAAGGTGGAGCCAATCTCTCTGCCAGATGCAGGCACTCCCCCTTTGCCAAACTTTTCTCCGTGCACCGTCAGCGGCTGGGGTGTGACGTGGATGTATGGCAACACTCTTTCCTCTGAACTGATGGCTGTAGATGTGAGTTACTACAGTGACTGCTGGAGTTTCTACTACTTTGGGGTCACAAGCAACAACATCTGTGCTGGTTCTCCTACAGGAAGTAAAGATTCTTGTCAGGTGAGACACGGTGTCTAAAGGAGAGAGGTTTTTTCTTTAGGCTCTCACAATCACACAATTCTAAAATAAGTCCAATTTACATCTGCAGCAGGCAACACAATGAGTTTTTTATGTTTCATCTGCATCTATGATATTTTTAAGACAACAGGGGAAAATGTGAACATGCTGAAGATCCTTTACTTAAAAATAACTGCCCGCTTTTTATACTTTAAATGCACTCACTGATAAAATAAATTAATTAAACAGCCTCAAGGAACTGTTTGATCTGAATGTGATTTGGTGAACATACAGGCCAGGTAATGGTGTCTCAGGAGCTTGCATAGTGGGCATCAGTGGGCATAACTGGTGGCATCATGAGTGGAACGTCGGGTGTTATCAGGCAGTTACCTGAGTGTCCAACAGTGAGTGGTGATCAAAAGACACAGGACACATCTGTGGACACATCTACAAGCACTTAGAGTTTGATGGCGGTTGCACGTATGTTTTCATGAGGCCTCTACTGTGCACTTGCTCTGCATGTGGGGTGTACAGATGTCAGCGTGGCCCAGTGTTAAAACCAACGGGTACGTGAAGGAACCCACAAACGTGAAAGTTCAGGTTGCTCGAAACAGCCCACATCCAGGGAGGATTGTTGTATTGTGTGCCAAACGTTACAGAACCCCACGATACCTGCTTCTGCCGTCAGGACTGCGGCGCTGAACTGTTGGCCAACACCCGGTGTCATCTTACACCGCGTCTCGAGAGCTGGCATCAACTGGACTATGGTTTACAGACGCATGCAGTGGCTGTCATTAAACCAGAAACAGCTGCATTTGGGCTGGAGTCACAAACAAGCAGTGGTAAAAGTACAAATAAACAGACAAAAATGTACTCTAGTAAAAGTAGAAGTACCGCATTAACGTTTAACGTATTAACGTACTTGTACTTAGTTACATCCCACCACTGCAAACAAGAGGCATGGACTGACGATGAGTGGTGTCAGCTTGAATCTCTTCTTCTGCTTGAACAAAAAGGACAATTGTGTGCACAAGCTGTACTGTCGAGAAGACAGGACGTGTCCCACAGTGATCACAGCATCAGGGTGTGTGGACCACCTCAGACTGGGGGGACGTCAGGGACATCCACACCGCTCCTGAGACAGCACCGAGGGGCAGTCTTTCACGTAACTCCTATATGGAACACCAAAATTAATAAGCTATAAAACACAATTGTGAAATA